CGTGATACTAGTCACGTGACCTCGCTGACGCTACAATACTCAATACCAATTAACTCTTAAAGAATTAAAAGAACTACAAACATCTGGCATCAAACTTGCATTCAATGGAATTTTTTAATAGCATTGCTGCCAATTGTCCCCAATGTGGTCAGAGGTAAGTTTAGGGACTTACAATGCTGAAATCTAGGGATGGATTTCCCGCGGTGAAAAGAGCGCAGATAGCCTAATGTGTACAAAACAAACAATCAAAGCTGCCAACTGGGTATGGAAAATTGTTAATCCATGAAAATCTACCAATTTATTCAAGTATTGTATGAAATAAGTGAAACGTTAACTGATTCTAGTGCCACAGAATGATATAATTTCACAACAAATTCAGATACTGGGACCTTGCTCCCCACATATCAGTAAATCTAAGCGAATTCGAAAAACACTGGATTCTGAATGTGAATTTTGTTATGTCTTTTCTCATTCTGAGCATTTCATTGGTAAAATGAATAATAATGATATATTTTTATCACCAAGTGTGCAAAGCAAAAGTGTGTTCATAATAAATGATGAAGCATATTTCATCATTGAATTGGGAGCAGATCTTCGTCCAATTTATAGAAATAAATAGAAACGTTAATGTCAATTTTGTCAAATGCTCATATCTTGGCTGTAAGTGCTATGCCATCTATTAAGTTATCAAATCTCTGCTTATGAAAGAAAAGCATGTAACTGGCACATGCCCAATTAAGGGTAATATTTCACTGTGTGTCTTAAAGAAGGAAGGCTGGAACCAGAACCACTATACAGAAACATATGCGAAGTATTCTTCATTATTGTTTTACCTAAGAAGAAAAGAAAAATAAATTTTACCAAGGATTACTTTGAAAGTTCACATTCAATTACAGTTTCTATAAGTCCAGAAAAGTATACAATATTTCATTAATTAACACTTTAAGTTCGAGTAGTTGGTATAGAAACTTTCAAAATAAGCTTCGGTGTTATTGTACCAGTTAAATTGTGGATTTACGACGTAAAAGAAAGAGAGAGAAAGAGCTCGGTATCATGTTTTAGCAACTCCGTAGATGGCAGCACAAACCTTACATTAGATGCATGTCATTTTATTCATATTAATGATTTATCAAAATTTAAGTGCTGTATCTTGTTGTTAGTAACATTAAGATAGTTCTTAATTTTAATATTCTTTTAAGCAGAATAACATGGGAGACTCAACTTACGATCGTGCTATAACTGTATTTTCACCTGATGGTCATTTATTTCAGGTTGAATATGCGCAAGAAGCAGTGAAAAAAGGATCTACAGCGGTGAGTAGGCCTACTTCTACTAGTGGTGCATTGATGTCAGAAACAAAGTTTCAAATGCTGGTGAAAATTATTATTCAAGCATAGCTACATTCGCATGTCATATCATTTCTAAGAGAGGTGTACTGAATGTTGATTGATTTCTACCAGGAATATTTCTAACTTCTCAGTAATCTATGCTTTCTGTAAATTGTGTGTAAAGCGTAGTTGTCACTTTGAAAACCTGTAGAATATGCAAGTATTTAAATTACTGTGTGAGTTGTACTCTGTGCTAATTTGCTATAACTCTTCTTGTGTGATCTAGAGAATTGTCAAGATATTTAACAAAGTATTTAAGATAAAGTAAATAATGTAGAATAGTGTTCATGGGATTCATTAGTGTAGGTTTGCCCAAACTTAAAACTAATTAGGACTTGCTGTTCTTCATTGCTTCAACAGTCCTCATTGGAAAATTGTTTTCTTTAGCCCATAGTGGGCTAGTATGGTAGTGAATAAATGCAGTGGCTAGATACCCAGCAGTTCAAAAATATTGATGAGCTACAATTACCTCTCACTTGACTTGGAGGCTAGAGAATGAGTAACAGTAAATTATGAGACTGATTTCAAGCTCGATGAAACAATCTGAATAAAACTTTTACACTGGAAAAATCAATATCAATCAGCTTAGGGGTTTGCTACAAGCTGCTGGGAATGATCCTCAATATACTGGATACCTAGCAGTCCATAATTTAATGATCATTATTTATCTATATGTATAATTTGTAATAATATAGTTTTTTGAAATTATCATTATTTATTATTGTTATTATTAATTATTATAATCATTATTGTTGTATGTCATCATTATTCAAATTTTTGGATTGATGGGTATTTAGTATTTGAAAGATCATTCCCAGCTGTCAGGTATATAGCCACTGTATTGAATAAAAATAGATTGGATGTTCAAAAATAGATAACAAACTAACTATATCATGTATACTGAAATTCAAAATTGGCCAAAAAAAAAATCTATGGTGAACTAGTTTCATCTATTCTAATGTGTAATATGCAACACACTTAATAATAATAATAAAAAAGATACATTGCTTTGTGTCAGAATGTTATTATAAAGAAGGAAAAATAAAGAAAACATCAATATCAATACCAGAATTGACAAATACAGATGTATGTAGTTAATTATTTATAATACACAGTGCTTGAAGTAGGTTGGTATGTGATGATGTAATATACCAACACCTGTTTAATTTTTATTTTTTTTCGATGATGCCATTTCATACAGATCTTTTTTTCTGACATTTCTGAGTGTTGGGATGAACATTTATGACTTTAACCCAGCCTTTTATTTTTCTGTTCACCCCACTCTTTCTTTCACCATGCTGGTTTTTTCCATGCTACCACTATTCTTTTTCCACTTCAAGCATTGATAACTAGAGCTGGAGGATTTGTGGAATTCACTAATTGATTAATCAGGCTCTTTACTCAATTACATTCAACTAATCCATTATTTTCCCAAGAAGTGGGTAAAAAAACTTATAATGTTAAAAATTGGGTTTCAATACTTGCACAGATAGACAACTGTGTAGCTGTATAATGGCTGAGGGCGGCTTGAATGGGTAATGAAGAAAAACTTTAATATAAGTTT